CGCAATGCCCTAGTTGCTTGTGTACCAACCCACAAGTGTTGTGGTACTGCTGGCTTTGATTGGTTTCAATGTTGAACCACAAAGTTTGGGGTTCCTTATTATTATTCTTTATTAAAATTCGATGCGATTTTCCCTTCTGCTACTTCTAGTTGCAGACCACTTCACCAAACTAAAGATAGCGCCAGTATCTCATATGTTCGGTTCCCTTACTAGCTATGGCACACTTAATTCTACTAGGAGTACATATAGTCAACATAGTGAATATACATCTTTTGTAAAATGAACTACCAGGTATGAATATATAGTTAAAGTGTACCAGTTAGGTTATTAATTTTTTGAAACATAATTGTATTCTGTGAACTTGTCTAAATTCCCGGCCTTGGTTTTTCGATTAGTTTAGCATCAATAGATAGTTCAACTTTCTGGCAATTTAATCTCAAAATAATCATTTTATGCTTAAGCCCTAAAAATGAATAATGTAACTATTGCACATAAAGGGTACAATGTACAATATCAAGTTAGATGTTCAGTTGACTTACGATTAGAGTCAGATCAAATACTTTTGCTGATTTTGGTCTCTAGCATCTCGAATTAAAATTTGAGATAAGAACCAGGGTGGGCTTCTTCCTGGATTTCCCTAACATATTTCAGTTATAAACCTGCGAAAAAGCTTTTGTATCTACTTTCTTTCCTAGATTATTAATCTTTACGGGTATCCAAAAACCAGGGAGCCAATAGATTTTATGACCTTAATGCATTTCACGATGGTGGCGTAGAACATCCTGATACATCAAACCATTACATCATATGGCCAAATATATGCCTCAGAGTGAGTTATATTGTTGTTTTGTTTTTTGTATAATAGTATGCATGCAACAAACCTACCCATATAGCTGCAGACTTATTTCTTCAGGAAGTTCGCCTTTCATCAGCCCTATTATGTGACCATATTATGGAATATTAGCTGATGATAACTATGGTTCCTCTGCTAAATACCTTCATGCTTTTATCTTCAGTCGAAAGCAAATTTACTAATAGAAAATAAATCGAATGATTGCCATAGTTCTTGGTTTGGCTTCTGAAGGCTGCCTTTAGCAAAATTAGGCAAAAATCTTTAGTGGGTTTCTGTATAAGGGGTAAATTTTGAGGAAAAGAAGATTTTTTATAAGTTCCTGGAAACTAGTGTAGCCATTTCAATTCATAACATACTTCTTAGTTTAGTCTATCGTTGAAGGAGGGGCAAGTTATGAGACATCTGGCCCTCTGGTACGCTATAGAATAAGCAAGGTTCTCTGAGATAATATAACCTTGTCAAAAGATTGAGAATAGGCAATAATACCGTATTTTCCAGCGTATAAGACGACTTTTCACACCATAAATTTCTGCTCCAAATTTGGGGATCGTCTTATACGCCGCGTTAATACAATAAAGTGTATGCCATTAGAAAAAACAATGTTTATTGGGAATGGGTACCTTGCAAAGATATCAATAGACTTTGA